AAAAAAAAAAAAAAAAAAAAAAAAAAAAAAAAAAAAAAAAAAAAAAAAAAAAAAAAAAGAAAATAGTGATAATAATGGATTTTCGCAGAAAATCTGTATAATCGACAACGACGAAGTTTCCGGGAGACGCATCGCGGCATCGGTCGACAAGTCCCACGACGCTGGCAAGGCGATCTTCATTCACGCCGATGTTTCTCGGTACAATGACGTTGTCGGTAAGCTGGTTTGGAAATAGGAAAAAAAAAAAAAAAAAAAAAAAAGAGAGAGAGAAAGAAACATAGATGAGCTGACGTCAGATGTTACATCGTTGATCTTTGGATTTGCAGAGGCGTTCGAGAGGGCATCTAAATCGATGGACGGAATCGATATAGTTGTCAATAACGCGGGTATTCTGGACGAGAGGAGGTGGGAGAGGGAGATCGCCGTTAATTTGGTAAGAGTTTTTTTTTAATCGCTTTTTGAGCTTTTGCACAGAAATTTTCATATTTTACGCAACCATGACAAAAAAAAAAAAAAAAAAAAAATGAGACGATTACAATAAGTAATACGCGAGTTGCTGATATGAGCTTTGATTCATAATTTTCTTCGAGATATACTCAGCTCAGTCTGATCACGGGTTTTTCTCATTTATGACCAAGGACCAATGGGTTTAATCTAGACATCCGGATATGTATCATATGCATAAAATATATCAGGGGTTCTTTCATAATATAAATTAATCCCTTTTGGGCACTATTCTTTACTTTACTTATTTAGTTTGAAATTTTCATGTGAAATCCTGGTAGAATCTCGGTGGAATCAGAGTAATTTCGATACGGAATCCAATTAGTGATCCAAGAAATTTATTGGATATTTTTCAAGGCGTGCCTTAAATAAATAAATTTTTTTCACCTGAAATTTCTTCAAAGTCAGAAAATATTAAAAGATAATTTAACATAGACTCTCCTATCAATTAACGTGAACCTCGACTAGATTGCATCTAGACACACCAATATTATTTCTGGAGCAGTAATCGTGTTTAAGGTGTAAATTTGTTTTTGTTCATGAACCATATTTACGTTTAATAAAATACGCCTGTATAGGTAGAATCCACATAGGATTTAAATTTATTGATGAAAATATCCCTGTAAATCAGGAGGTGGTGTAATAAACCCATGATCAAATAATGACGAAAAATCAACTCACGATTAATAAAGCCGATATCCCTTGTTTCGTACCATCCAAGGCCGGCATGGTGTCCGTCGCAATGCTGGCAATGGAACACATGGGCAGAGACAAAGGTGGCAAAGGCGGTGTTTTGATCAATATCGCCGAACACCTCGACGTCCACTGCACGGCCCAACTGCCCGTCTACACGGCCACCAAGCAAGCCATCATCGGACTCTCCCAGTCGTTGGCGGTACGAGTATATCACGTGTTGTGCAGTCAATTGTATTATTGTTTTCGAATAACCCAACGGTTTTTCAATTTTCGCAGGCCCCGTGCAACACGGAGAGGACGGGCGTTCGGGTGGTCACACTCTGCCCGGGACTGACGGAGACCGCGCTTACCATAGACAGTCCCAACAAGCTCCTCTCCAGGGTCATGAAGGCAGACTTTGTCAAGAATCTCGAGCAGCTGTCGATACAAACGTTGGTTCATCTCTTACTTGCACCAGCAAAACTGAGTGACCCGAATTTTTTTTTTTTTTTCAAACAATTTAATGGACATCGCCCCTTTGACACGCGTAAAGTAAGGGGTGACTTTGCACTCCCGGTGGATCAACTTTCGTTCGTGAAACCTCATGCAAACCCAGTAACGAGAAGTCAAAAAAATACCCTTCCACCAAATAACCACTACTCCGTGGTTAGTTTTTAATCGTTTACCCGAAATACTTTTGTTTTTACACCCAAGTGAAGTTCAACTTCGCGAGCGGGCGAGAAATCGGATAGCCCGTGGAACGCACACCGGCTGGCGAGCAAAAAAAGCTGGTGGGATGAAAAAAATAATGACGTACCCCCAACTCGTGCAAAAATCCCCTTCTTTGCGCACTTTGTGTGTAAAATATATACGTCGGGGGAATATAGGGGTAAGAAAATTATCTCCGAATGCAAGAATTGGGTCGCTCGGTGCCTCATCTTGTTCGTTGTAGATGCTTCGATGTCGATTGAACAAAAAAGTATGTATATAAATAAAAATCGATGTGTTTTTATTTTTACAGACCGTACGTCGTGGCTCAGGGTCTGATGTCGGTGCTGAGGAGCAGCGAGTCTGGAAGTATTTGGGTCGTCGAGAATGGCCAGTCACCCTACGAGGTGCTCGTGCCCAACTGTCGAGGTTTGCGACGAATTTACAAAAACAACTTCGTCGTCAGCGACACGGTCAAAAATACCTCCAAGGGTAGGCCCATACGCGAAGTGTGCGACAACACGAGAACCGGCCTGATGAGCTGCGCTTGATTATTCATATTATTCATTTATGTTGTTTGTTTTGACGATTCGAGTAGTAGGTCTGTTTTTTCTCAAAGTATTGCTTTCGGTGGCTATTGTAGTTTCCAGCGAAAGAAATTACACATCCACGTCGCGCCTTGTTCTTTGTAACAAGGGACACACTTTATTTTTATTATTATTATTATTTTTTTTCATGCGTATATTACGTTTTTTTT